ACTCTTGAAACTAAGACAGAAGGATCATAGATTTCAAAAAATAAGCAAAAACTGTTTTTTTCTTTTTTCTTTGTATTCTAGAAGCTTGCAGTAAGCTTTACTCAGACTTTTTTAGAAAGTAATTTTAGCGAGCATTTTTCTTTTTCTCTTCTTTTCGTTTTTGTTTTTTGTTTGTTTGTTTTTTGTTGTTGTTGTTGTTTTTGAGACAGGGTTTCACTGCAGTTTTGGAGCCTGTCCTGGAACTAGCTGTTGTATACAGGCTGACCTTGAACTCACAAGAGATCCACCTGCCTCTGACTCCTGAGTGCTGGGATTAAAGGCGTGCACCACCACCGCCTGGCCCTTAGCAAGCCTTTTTCAAAGGTAGTGATGTGTAGTTTCCAACTGAGATACACACATCCAGGTCTTTCTATTTCCTGTCCTAATATTTGAAAATAAATTCTCCCAGATATTCAAGGCTCCTTACTGCAAAACTCTTCCTAGCCACGGGTGAACTTTCACTGTCTGACTTTTTACTCATCTGGTGGTTCCCATCCTCTCTTCAGGGCCGCTCCTTCTCCGGATTCAGCCTCTCTCTTGCTGAGACACATCTGTCAGTCATCCATGCACTGAGGTTGTGTTAGCTGACACTCAGTAGGTTAGTGCAAGGGGAGAGGGTAACCCTTTTCTCAGCACCCGAGACACCATTACACACTGTCTCCTGGTGCCTAGGATACATTACATGCTGTCTCCTGGCACCTGGCACCTATGACATCATTACACAGTGTCTTCTGGTGCCTATGACATCATTACACACTGTCTTCTGGAGCCTATGACATCATTACACACTGTCTTCTGGAGCCTATGACATCATTACACACTGTCTCCTGGCACCTATGACATCGTTACACACTGTCTCTAGCATCTATGACATCATTACACACGGTCTTCTGGTATCTGTGGTTGATCTGAGAACTCTATAAACTCATATTAACCCATGTTTTTGTTTCTTGTCTAATTTCAATGTATTCAAGAAGAAATTTGTTTTCATTAGCTCTGAAAGTGATTTCTTGCTCTCTTAGGCCCAAAGTCATTTCTGGGAAATGTCTGCCCAACCTCCAGACTCCCTCCCCCACACCATGGACACTCTCTTGTGGAACTTCAGTGTGTCACATGTTCACTTCCTGCACAACGTATAACACAACTTCTGTGTAGAAATCCCCATATTGGTGTGGCTCCTCCCAGCTTCCTTCTGCTTCCTTCTTTGGGGCTGTGCACCCTCTGGGTGTCCACGGCGCCAAGACTCGATCTGTGTGCATCTGTAGACAGCACACGGGGGTTCACCCTCTCAAATCCAGCGGGCCATTCATTTCTCTCCTTTGGCATTCAAGGGACACTTTCCCGCCTTCCAGTGGGACCAGCGCCCCTGCCCTGTGGGTGCCCTGCCCTGTGGGTGCTGACTCCTCAGAGGGTTCACTTCCTCAAACAGTGAGCTAATGTGAGCTCACGCCCGTAGGCTGTGCATCCCTCAGCAGCCCCGCTGAAGGCTTCTCCCTCCAATCAGAATTCTCCAGCTTCTGCATCTGTGGCTGAGGGCAACCTCACTCCAGCAGCCTGCACAGGCCCAGATCTCAGGTGTTGCCTGCTCCTGATGTTTCCCAGCTGACCCCTGGCAGCAACGGCTCATGGCAGCTGCAAGGATATAAGTCCTGTGTGAGTCTTGCTTGGGTGCTGACTCCTGCCTTCTCCGGCACAGAGACCCTGGGACGGCCTCAGGAAGAGTCGCTGTATTGTCCTGGGCATCTGCAGCCTTCAGGCCCCTCTCCCAACCTTCAGAGAACCCCGGTTTATTCTTCTGCTTGGCTTATAGCTCAGCTACATATTAACTTTCCTGCTTTGCTGGTCAGCACTAAGGGTGTGCTCTGCTGGAGGGGAGGGTCTTCCGGTCACACATTTACTCAGCCTGCCATCCACGAGCCCTTAGAGTGTCATTGTCCATTCTGAGCTCCTGTTCTGCTGTCACCATTAGTGGGAGGGGACATCCTCTATCCACCAGGGAGACCCAAGGACACATTCTTTTTTCTTTTTCTTTTTCTTGGTTTTTCGAGACAGGGTTTCTCTATGTGGCTTTGGAGCCTGTCCTGGAACTCCCATGTAGACCTTCTGTGTAGGCCTTAAATTCAGAGATCCACCTGCCTCTGCCTCTCAAGTGCTGGGATTAAAGGTGTGCATCACCACCGCCCGGCCCAAGGACTCATTTTTAAACCCAACCAAGAACAACAACCGTGTCCAGGACTCTGAAATAACCCAAAGACCAAAGCCCCATGGTCTGGTAAGACAGCGGCACACTTTAACAGAAGGCCCTGATCCCAGGGATCAGGCTACATGAGGTTAAACGTCTCCGAGCAGGCGACACTGAGCCCAGAGGAGAGGAGAGAGGTGTCAGTTAGCTCTGGGGGCTGCAGCAGCAGCAGTTTGTACAAAGCCCTGTCGCACATTCAGGAAACTCAGAGGCAGAAAAGAAACTGTATGGCAAGGAAAGCAGGAGCGCTCCCAGGAGGAAGATGGGGCTCCAGCAGCCAGAAAGAGGTCCTGAGATGGAGCCAGGTGATTATGTGGGAAAACAGATAGGATTTTCTGTGATTTCAAAATAAAACAAAAAAGGAAATGACCACCAAAACCACCCAGGCGGCGGTGGCGCAAGCCTTTTATCCTAGTACTTGGGAGGTCACCCTGGCCTATAGAGTAAGTTCCAGGACACCAGAGTTGTTACACAGAGAAACCCTGTCTCAAAAGCAAAATAAACCCACAAACAAACAACCTGGGAGAGATGGCTCAGTGGTTTAAGAGTGCGCACCGCTCTTACAGAGGACCTGAGTTCGGTTCCTAGCACCCACATCAGCAGCTCAGAGCCACCTGTAACTCCAGCCCCAGGCAATCCAGTACCCTCCGAGTCTTTGTCTGTGAGCACCTGCAATCATTCCCATGCCCATACACAGACACACATGCATACTACATATAGTAAAATGTAAAACAAAGAAAAGTGTGTTCCTGTTGGTTGGACCCAGACTGTCCAGAACACTCCCACGGTGGCTGGACTTTCCAGAAACAAGGAAAATCAGAGGAAGTCCGACTTGAGGGAGAAAGTGGTCACAGCCAGTAACTTCTCTACATCTCCACTGTCTCTAACGGACACAGGAGAGTTGTGTCACCCTGGGCTCTGTGGGGCCCTGTTAGCTGAGGCCATATACAGAGGTCTTCCTTACACAGCACAGGCAGACAGGACATGGTAGCTCACAGGAGTGGCTAGCATTCACCGGAGAGCCTGGGTCTTCCCACTGGGGCTGTGTCCCTGCAGTGTTCAGGGGACACAGTCCACCACCGGCAGGCAGGTGGGAAATGCAGAGGAAGGAAGATGGGTCCCAACTGGTCCACCACTCTCAAAGGGCTTCAACTTCAAAGCCTCTCACCCCAGGAGGGAGCTTCCCATGTGGCCTGGGGGCGCCTTCTCCATCACCCTCCCTAGGCATCAGTTCCCAGTGAGTGTAGGTGGGTCTGGGTCCCCACCCCTGGCCTTGCAGGTGTTTCCTGGCTAGCTTTGGCTTTGAGACGGGTGTCTGCAGTTTCTTTTAGTCTCAGGCCTGATGCTCCTGGTCTGGTCTACTAGGTTCCTTCCCGGGTCTAGTGAAGTCAGGAGTCCCATTACCCCTTGGCAGACTTCCCAGGCTATCCGGATAGTTTGAGCCACAGCAAACGACATTCTGACCAAAACCAAGAGTCCAGCACCTTAGCCCTGGGCTAAGATCACTCGGAGTGGTGTCCCCACTCCTGTGAAAAGTTGCTGCACACACTCTGCTTGTGGGATGGAACTGACTGCTTCTCCAGGATATCAGCTCCTATCCCAAGCCCTCCAGGAGAAGATGGAGCCCTAGCGACCCCCAAAACCAGAGCCCCGACTCCAGGAATGGGCTATACACAGAAGAGGGTCTTCCGGCGGGGTTTTCTAACCGGGCGGGGGAACCACCGGTCTAATGCCTCTTCCCCAGCTACAAGCAACTTCCTCCTCCGAAGTCTCAGCGCAGACAGAGCAGGGTTCAGGGCGGGGTCGCAAAGCAAGCAGTAGGGCAAGGCAAGCAGCGGCCACCGCCCGCTCTGAGCCCCTGGGCCCCAGCAGCCTGCGCAGGGAGGTCCCCAGCGCCAACCCGAACCCTGCTTCTCCCGAGGCGCCCCAGGGGTCCTGACCGGCCCTCTGCCAGAAGCCCGCCTCACTCACTCAGGCCAGATGCCAGCGCCTGCTCGTTGGCCCACATGGCCCACTCGATCTGCCCCATGGTGAGGACACTGAACACGCAGCGCTTGGGTCCAATTCCGCAGCTCACTGCAAGTCTTCACCGACCGGCCCGCCTCCTGCTCAGGCTCCGCCCCTTCGGGCTGTGCCCTAAGGCCTCCTTTGCGCCTGAGTGGGTGGGACAGCCTCCCTGCTTCCCTCTAGCTGGAATGTGCCCCGCCTACTTAGGTCTTGCCTGTGACTTGTGACTGTACCCCCAGCTCCTAGGACCCCTGGAGTAAGTCACTTCAGTCCGCTGGCTCCTATGCTTATCAGACAAAGGCAGGTCCGAAAGGAAGAGGCTACTTCCGACCTACTATGAGCCAAGGCAGGTGTGGCCTGGATCACATGACTAAGTGGAGGGAGGGGGACTTGATATGTAAGGCTGGGAAAACCCAGAAAGTCGGGCACAGCTGAACACTATTGCTCTGGCCCAGACCAGCTCAGCAGTAGCAGCATGTATGTTGGGATATGGCATAAGGTGACAATGAGGCAGGAGACTGTCATGAGAGGGAACAGTGGCTGGGGTGGCTTGTGGGCAGTGGGAGGCAATCCTAGAAGTACCTACTTCGGGCCCCACCTCTCCACTACATAAAGATGACACTCAATGGCTAGTAGGGACCTGAATGCTCAGCTGTAGCTCATGAACCTGAGAAAGTTGATTTACAAAGAGAAAACACGGGCAAGGCAGGCATCAGCAGCAGCACACTTTATTCCTGGGGTCATCAGGTCCAATACCTGCACCTTCATGATGCACCCACACCCACAAGGGACCCCCACTCTGTGGGCTCAACAGCCTCTGCCCTCAAGATGAGGGGTCACTGGTCTTTATAAAGAAATATTCCATCCGTAGTGTGGCCTGAGTTAGCAGCCCCAGGCTCAGCAGAGAAGTGTCTGCTCTCTGGCCATCGGCTTCCGAGCTTAGCTGCTCTCTGAGGCTCTAGAAACTTCTCCAATGGGAGAGACACAGACTCCCCTTCCCTGACGAGCTGCTGTCTGGAATACAGGGAGGTCCACAGAGTTTCTGCGAGCCCTTTGGAAACCCACAGGGAATGTGAGGCACTTGATTGGGGACCCCCGCACCCCGGCTGCCTAGACAGGCGCTTATCACCACTCCATGTCCCCCACCAGCATGGCATTACCATCAGGCACCCCCACAGGCATGGGCAGTCAGCACACCAGCTCCCAGTCCCAGTGAGCAACCCTTTCTCCAGCAGCATGAGGGATTGGCATGGAAGAGGTCAGCGGTCCTGATGTGGCAGGCCATCTTCCAGCGGCACGAGGGATGGGCATGGAAGAGGTCAGCGGCCCTGATGTGGCAGGCCATCTGGGCCCAGCAAATGAGCGTGCGAGTTGTCTAGGACCTGAGGCCCTGGTCCAACCTGGGGAAGGAAATCAATGTCTAGTCCCGGGCAACGCAGCAGGTCCTAACCACTGCTCTAGGGACTTCACAGGACTGAGCGACTCTAAAGCAGGATTAGATGGGGGACATGGTGTCCCTTCCTGGTGAATCCACACCAGTTTGTCCTTACGAAGCCACCTGAGCTGCTGGGTGTCCCTCACCCTGGCTGGGCCAGATGCTGGCGGGTCTCTGTGGCCCTCAGCACATGGTTGGCATAGAAAGCGTGGATTTAGAGTGAGCTCTTTGAGAGCAGGGTCAGGAGATACAGGGATGCTGGCCTGCTTGTGGGAAACACCCTGAGGGCATCGTTTTGGGGACCTCAACACCTACTTATACTGGTGATAAAATGACTTTTTTTTTTGTTTGTTTGTTTCGAGACAGGATTTCTCTGTGTATCAGTCGTGGCTATCTTAGAACCCACTTTGTAGACCAGGCTGGCCTCGAACTCACAGAGATCTGCCTGCCCCTGCAGGGAGAGTGCTGGGATTAAAGGCGTGCGCCACCACTGCCCGGCAAAAGTGACCACTTTTTATCTGCCTGGCTTCTCTTGGTCCCGAGTTACTAACCTTTGCATCCCAAACGCCCCCACTCTCCTCCTCTGCGTGTGGATTGTCCCTAAATGATCACTGAGAGGAAATGAGTAGAACAGGGCCTGGTGACTCTGAGCCATGGCTGATGTTGGCTTCTGCTCCTTGCCTGAGACAGAGGAGGGAGGGAGCCTGGGCACCCACAGCAGACGAGGCAGTGCCTGCCATGTATTAACTGGGCCTCACCTGAGTGGCAATGATGTACTGGACAGCACCAGGGCTGGGCTCCATGGCCAGTGCAGCTTTCAGCTCATTGGAGAGAAGAACAGGCGTCACCGGCAGCCCCTTTAGGAACCTAGGCAAAGAAGCAGAACTGAGTCCATGATGCTGTGCGTGGGAGGCCAAGATGGGTGATTCTTCAGAGAGAGGTGGCCAAGGGTGGGAGGGTTCTTTTAGGCATGATGCGAACACTATGAATTAGATCTTTTGCTAAGTGGCACAGAGTAGTCAGACCAGTCCCAGGAGCCAGACCCGTGCCACGAAGAGACCAGGGACCACCTACACAGGCTCAAACCTGTTCAACAAGGAAGAAACTGGGGCTTTGCTAGAATCCTATGCTTCAAAACATCAGGTACTTAACGTACTCATCAGAATGCCTCATGCATTTCCTAATAAAACTCAATTCTGGGCTAAGAGGTAGCTCAGCGGTTAACTGAGTTCAATTCCCAGCAACCACATGGTGGTTCACAGCCCTCCATAATGAGATCCAGTACCCTCTTCTGTCCTGCAGGCAGAACACAGTATACATAATAAATAAATAAATAAATCTTTAAAAAAAATTTAAAAAAATTTTAGGCTGGATTATTTTGCCTGTGTGAATGTCTGTACACCATATAAATAAATAAACAACAACAACAACAACAACAAACCTCAATTCTAGGCTAAGAAGTGACTCAGTGGTTAAGAACACTTGTTGCTCTTGCAGAAGACTGGGGTTAGGGTCCCAGCACCCACATGGCAGCTCACAACCATCTGTAATTCCAGTTCCAGGAGACTGATGCCCTCTTCTGGCCTCCAAGGATACTGCACACATAAGGTGTACAGACATTCACACAGGCAAAATAATCCAGCCTAAATTTTTTTTAATTTTTTTTAAGCTTTATTTATTATGTATACAGTGTTCTGTCTGCATGTATGCCTGCAGGCCAGAAGAGGGCACCAGATCTCATTCCAGATGGTTATGAGCCACCATGTGGTTGCTGGGAATTGAACTAAGGACCTCTGGAAGAATAGCCAGCGTTCTTAACCTCTGAGCCATTTCTCCAGCCTCTAAAAATTTTTTAAAGAAAACACAAGCTGGTCTTTGCTGAGGGAGGGACCCTGATCTTCCAAGACATTGTTTCTCTCCAAAAAAAGAATCAACTAGATAAATTTCATACTACAGTTCAGGCTGGCTTTGAATTCACCTCTTGAACACCAGTATTATAGGTGAGGGTCACCCCACCCAGCTGAAATACCATTTCTTAGGGGGTGGGAATACGGTATTTGTTCACACATCCGCAACCTGTGTGGCTATCAGGAGAGACTTTCAATGCTGCCATCTGTGTGGCTGAGTCCCTGCAGGACAGTCAGTGCCTGAGATCTCCTGGTTTAGTACTGTGAGTTCCACGTGCCCCTAGCAGACTGTTCGGGGCATCTCCAGGCAGGGAAGAGGGGCACACACTCACTTGTCTCCGTTTGTTGCAGGGGGAAAGCTGTGCCTCACAGCTGCCACGAACTCAGCCACAGTGTCATCCAGAGTGAAGATCACAGCATTGGGGCCCGCATCAAATGTGTATGCCACCTGGAACCCAAAATATCCCCCACTGTTCACTCAGCACTGACCCTCGACCTGCGGCGGAACCTAGCGTCTCCCAAGTTGAACTGGGCCCATCTATGTCACCCAACCAGGGAGTGGTATCAATGAAACACACTCATGAGAGTCACCTCTGCCTGGAGCTCAGGAAGAGGCTATGACCTGTGCGGGTCACACAGCTAATGTGTTTTAGGTAAGACACGTAACACAGAACGAACCAGAACTGTAGGGTGGAGTTTGTCTATGCCATGTCTGCCATGGTCTGGAGGCCCATCCTGGAGGCCACTCCCAGCCCCACCCACTCTCATCACCTTTGTCTGTCCATGTATACCACGTCCCCATCATTGGTTCATGCTCCTAGCATCTGCCCCACAGTTCCTGTACGCTGGACGCTCTGCCTGGCTGCATCCCCCACGCTCTGTCACCTTTGTCTGCCCGTGGTGTGTGTTAAAGCCGTGTACTAGCTGGATGATGCGCCTGGAGGTGTCGTTGAGGTAGGAGATGGGTGGGAAGGTATCGAGGCAGGTGGCATGAAACTGGTTGCTGTCCTTCATGGTCAGCTGGGCAAAAGTTTGGAAGTCCCGCTCTTGGATGCAGCGGGTCATCTCCTTCATGCGCTCAGGCACAACGGACTCCGCCCGGAACTGCAAAGGGAGCGAGCGGGTGAGTGGGTACAACACTCTCTGCCAGCGGGTCTGGGCACAGGACCTCCAGAGTCATCCCCCCACCAGGAAAGCCCCATCTTGAGCAGCACACTTCACCCTCCCCAGCAAGCAGGGCTCTAGTCCCTGCCCTCCCCAGCAGGGCTCTGGTCTCTGCCCGCCTCCGCAGGCCCTACCTTGAGCAGGGTACTGGTCCCGTGCCCGCCCCAGCAGGCCCTACCTTGAGCAGGGTACTGGTCTCCACACTGGTCTGCATGCCCACTGTGCTGCCCGTCTGCTTCTTCTCGGCGCTCACCTGAACGAAGAGATGGCACTGGGCCTGGGCCACAGGGGACCCACAGCACAAGCCCTGCCCTCTGCCAAACCAACCCTTGGCTCCTGGTCAGGGAAGAGTGATGTGGGTCTGGATCTAGGCACATCATGGGAAGGGGCACAGCTCTGCCACGTGGGAGCCACTGCGGATCCTACCACCAACAGCCTTGGTCTGTTCCCCAGCCCCTGCTGGCCTAGGATCCTGGTGAACCCCACATGGATACAGTTCTTTCTTTCTTAGCCCAGCCCTGGCTAAACAGCCATTCTCCCACTGGCTGCATGCCCATCCACTTACCACAAGGATAAGGATTCGGAGTTGGGGCCAGTGCCACTCGGGGGCTATCTGCCGGGCAATGCTGTCCTTCCCATCGCTCTGCTCCCCCATCTGCCACTCCACGAAGCCCCCATAAAGACTGCGGCATGCGCTGCCTGAGCCCCGCCGAGCCACTTCAGAGAGGTCCCCCTCAACCCCATAGACACGGGCCAAGGTATAGGCTGAAGGCACAGGAAAGAGACAGGGAGGCAGGGTGAAGGCTCATGCGCCACCCAGACCAGCTCCTCTAGGTGCTCCCGCTGCATAGGACATGAGATTCTGAGGAGGCAGAGCTGGGGCACTGGCATCTAAGCTGGCATCTCCCAGCCCGCATTGTTTCATTTGGCATTGAGTTTGGAAATGTAGTCAGCCTCGTAAACTACCTCAGGACTGGGGGTGGGGGGAGGCCCCTTTGAGGAGCTGTACCCAAGTGAAGCGCTAAGGGGAGGGGTGGCAGTCAGAAGGCCACCAGGAGCAGAGACAAGGTGACAGTCTGAATAATGTGTCTCCTGGGGGAAGACAGCATCGCAGGCAGTGAGGCAAGCTTGCTGTTCATCAGCAGGGGACTTCCCAGAGTCTAGCTATCTTGAGAAGGTGACCTTGCGTCCAGGACTGGCTCACCTACGGACTCTCTCCTGGGATGCCCCTACGCCTCTAAGTCAGGATGACGCAGGAGCCAGCTGGACCAGGGAGTTATCACCCCTGGAGCTAAGAGATAAGGGTGGCCTGAGCTCATGAGGGCTGCCTGTGCCAGGGATGGGGGTTCCACCTACAGTGACCCATGGCAAGAAAGCAAAGATGATACTGGTGGGGGGGAAAAAGAGTTCTTGACGATAGGGTCAGCAACCCAGAATGCAGCTGGGCCTGAAGCCGGGTCAAGATCTTGGAATTTTCGCTTCTTCTTCTTCTGGAAGACACCAATGGCGGATGATGCCGGTGCAGCAGGAGGGCCCGGAGGCCCCGGGGGCCCAGGATTAGGAGGCCGTGGCGGCTTCCGCGGAGGATTCGGTAGTGGTCTGAGGGGCCGCGGCCGTGGTCGAGGCCGTGGCCGAGGCCGCGGGGCTCGCGGAGGTAAAGCTGAAGACAAGGAGTGGATTCCTGTCACCAAGCTGGGCCGCCTTGGTTAAGGACATGAAAATCAAGTCCCTGGAGGAGATCTACCTGTTCTCCCTGCCCATTAAGGAGTCCGAGATCATTGACTTTTTCCTGGGAGCATCCCTAAAGGATGAGGTTCTGAAGATCATGCCCCTGCAGAAGCAGACTAGGGCAGGCCAGCGGACCAGGTTCAAGGCTTTCGTCGCTATTGGGGACTACAATGGTCACGTAGGTCTCGGTGTTAAATGCTCCAAGGAGGTAGCCACTGCCATCCGAGGGGCCATCATCTTGGCCAAGCTTTCCATTGTCCCTGTGCGGAGAGGCTACTGGGGGAACAAGATTGGCAAGCCCCACACTGTGCCTTGCAAAGTGACAGGTCGCTGTGGCTCTGTGCTGGTGCGTCTCATTCCTGCCCCCAGAGGCACTGGCATAGTCTCCGCTCCTGTGCCCAAGAAGCTACTGATGATGGCTGGCATTGATGACTGCTACACATCAGCCAGGGGCTGCACTGCCACCCTGGGCAACTTTGCCAAGGCCACCTTTGATGCCATCTCTAAGACCTACAGCTACTTGACCCCCGACCTCTGGAAAGAGACTGTGTTCACCAAGTCTCCTTATCAGGAATTCACTGACCACCTAGTGAAAACCCACACCAGAGTCTCTGTTCAGAGGACCCAGGCTCCAGCTGTGGCCACCACATAAGGGTTTTTATACAAGAAAAATAAAAGTGAATCAAGTCTGTTAAAAAAAAAAAAAAAGATCTTGGAATTTTCAAGGGAGCCAAGATCCTCCCACCCCCGCCTCCAGGTATTTTCTACCTTCAGGTGGCTTCTGTTGCTTGAGTCTCTGGGGAGCTGGAGGGCCCTCACACAAGGGCAGAGAGGGTCTGGTGGTCAATTGCATTCTGGGAAAGGGCAAACTCAGGGCCTGTCTTACAGGGAGCTCCAACGATAGGAGTCCTGGGTGCTGACAGGCCAGAGACCCCACCCCTACTACCACAGAGCTGAGCCCTGGGTCTCCCAGTCCCTGTGAGCACCCACCTAGGCAGGCGAAGCCCGCTGCTGACGATGCCAGGCCTGCAGCGGTGGGGAAGTTGTTCTCTGAGGCCACGTGCACCTTATAGCTGAGGCTGAGGGGAAGTGCGTCCCCGTCCCCCGTGCTCCTCCGCTTCCGAGCCAGGCGGCGGACTGCAGGGGAGAGGGCACAGTGAGTGGCACTGCCACTTGGCAGACCCACTGGAGCGACCTCTGCCACCTCATCTGCCTGCGGCCGGGATTGAGAGGAGTATGGCTGAAATCTGAGGCAGTAATGCCCGGACCTCCCACACGGACTCTCTCCTGGGATGCCCCTACTCCAGCCCCTCTCCTATGGGGGCTCAGCATTCACAAGGGCACATCGGAGTGGCTGTCATCCCAACTCACTCTCCCTCAGGCAGGCCTGGAGTCGCGGATGCCCCACATCCTCCTCTTGACCATTCAGCCAGATGCGGTCCTCTGTGAAGTCCTTGCTGATGGCGGCAGTTGTGATGGTTTTTAACTGAGAAGGACAGCAAGGGCCCGGGCTGAGGACCAGTACCCACACAGCATCCCTTTCTGCCCACAAGGCCTTTCCTACCCATGGCTAGTATGGCTGTTCCCCTGGGCAGGGACAAGCACGTGGAAGGTCAGGGGGGTCACCAAGGTCAGCCCTGGCTGGGTAGAAGGGAAGTCGGCAAGCCCCTCAGGCTGGCCACACTAGCCTGGCCTTCGCCGTGTGGGGTCCGTCTCACCCACAGCAGGACCGCGGGCATCTGGTCCCTCTTGAGTAAAGGATCGTAGGTATAAAACTAGGCCTGCGGCGTTGGGAATTTGTGTGTGGATGAAGAGACGAGGGGGCTGTGTGCTGGGCAGTCCAAGAGGAATCAGAAGGACACAGGCCGGCTACGGTTCCCACGAGAAGCCACCCCATTCTAGCCATGAGAGCACAGTGTCTATGCGGTGCAGTCACCTGGTCCTGGTGCAGCGTGACACTCAGAGAGGAGTTGATGGGCAGGATCAGTGCTTCATCGCGCTTCCCCCCTGCAACAATAATCCAAGCCAGTGAGTTCCTGGCACCCGACTGGCACTCCGCAAAGTTGCCCCCGCCCCTCTGTAGCAGCCCCCCTACCACCATCCTGTTCTCACTGCACAGGCTGTGCCACCACCTCGGACACCTCCTGGCTGTGCCACCACCTCGGACACCTCCTGGGCTGGCTGCAGACTCAGAGCGCAGGTTCCCAGAGCACAGGTGGAGGCCAGCCCGCCTCTGCCTCAAGCTTCTTCCATTTTTTTTTTTCACTCAACAGATACAGTTGTGGGCATCTGCTAGGTAGCACATGTGGCTAATGGTCTCCTCTTGCACCCGGAGGAGCCCAGTTCCTGACCATGTCTCCGACTGCACCAATCAGAATGGTCCCTCTCTGCCCAACACTCTAAGCCCCATCGCGGGCACAGTCAGGAAATGCAGCCCGACAACACTCACAGCACTTAGCTGATAGATGCACTGTCTTTGTTGAACATCCACACATGCTCAGTTAATATGGGACGCTCACACAGAAGGTAACCAAAGGCTAACTCTGGGCAGGTGAACCTTTTCCATCCTTCACCATCTACAGACACCTGCCCACAGGCAGCTCTCCTGGAGTCATGGGGCTGCTTTGAGGAAGATGGAGCCGATGACCTAGCCCCTAAGACCGAAGTCCAAGTGTCCCGCACAAGCCAGCACAAGGCACCTGAGCGAGGAAGGAAGACCCTGGGCCGTTGCCTCCAGGCAAGGCTAGGGTGGCGTGGCTTCAGGTGCCCCATCTGGGTTTCTTTCTGACCACTGGTCTCGGGCTAGCAGCATTTGCAGAGCGTCAAGGAGACTGGCAAAGGGTAAGACAAATTTTTGCCACAGTTTGCTCCAGCCTCACCCTTCCCAAGGCCCTGGGGAGCCTGGCTACATGAAAGCACCATCCTTTTCACCCTGAAGGTGTGGCAGTCTGCCCTTTCATCTTAGCTGGCATCCTGAACTTCGCCACAGGTCTGTTTGCACAGGTGCTTCTTCCAGTCTTGCTGGGATTTTCTAGAGGAGGCCTGATGGCCCCTGCAGGGACCCTACAGAGCCCCTATAGGGCCATACAATGTGGGTTGAACCCCTCTAGCTGCCAGAAAAGAGATGGCACCCCTCCTCCGCCAGCTAAAGGTTTTAATAGGACTTGAGTCTCAGAAGACAGCAGAAAACCATTCGATGTCACCCCAAATCATTTGCCATACCAAAAGGGAGGTTCTCAAACCGAGAAAATAACAAGACACTAACAATGACGTGTCAGTGATGCCACGACTGCCGCCAGACATTTTAAGGCAGGCAGTCACCATGAGACAGCCTGAGCCAGCAATCAGGAGCAAGTAAGAAAGCAGCGGCAAAGAGATGGTTAAGGAGACGGAAGCCCGGGAGCTGAGCCGGGAACTGAAACAAAAGCTCAGGGGAGTGAACCTGAGCAGATGGAGGGAAAACCTAGCCAGCAAAAACGTGATTGATATCCAAACCCCAGCCAACCGCAAAGCATCCCACACAACAGCATGCAGAAGAAAAATAGCATGCACTAAAAAGAATATCTGTATTTAGTCCTTGAAAAATTCATACATGTATACAATGTGTCTTAATTATTTTCACCCTACATCACCCCCCAACTTCTCCCAAGGGCCTCTTTGTTTTTTTGGGGGGGATCTTACACATGCTAGGCAGGTGCTATACTACTGAGCTACAGGTCCAGTCTTGGGATCATGTGATCTTTTGTTCTTGTCAGGACAGGGTTTCTCTGTGTAATAGCCCTGGCTGTCCTGGAACTCACTTTGTAGACCAGGCTGGCCTAGAACTCACAGAGATCTGCCTGCCTCTGCCTCCCGAGTACTGGGATTAAAGGTATGCACAACCACCACCTGGCTAAGATCATGTGATCTTACCAACAGAAAAGATAAAATCACAGCCATTTGTGTTTTAGGAAAGAATTATCGGGGAAAAAAATTGGAAAAGATGAAGGACCTTTCTGTTGTTTTTAAGGCAGAGTCTAGTTATGTGGCCCAGGCTGGTCTAGAAACTGTGAAGATACTTTCATGGACCAAGGCAAGAAAGTCCACTGCCAACAGCCCCATCCTCTTACCTGATACAGTGTTGTTCTTCCAAGGAATCAGGCAAGGAAACAAAGCACAAAGAAACTATAAAGAAAGCCACTTCTAGTGGTAAAAGACTTGTTTGTCTACACAGAAAAATCTCAAAAAATCTACAAAAGTTCTCAGGAGGAAAGAATGTGTTCAGCCATACTGCAGAACACAAGATCAACACACACCTTCAATCCCAGTACTCAGGAGGCAGAGGCAAAAGGATCTCTGTGAGTTCGAAGCCAGCCTGGTTTACCGAGTTGAGTTCCAGGACAGTCAGGGCTATACGGAGAAACCCGTCTCGATAAAACAAAACAACAAGAAAACAAAACAAAAGACAAGGAGGGTAGGGTACAATGGACTCAAGGAAATGATCACCCATACCACTGGCCAATGGGAACCAGAAGCTAAAACCACACAGAACTGTGGGTGTATCTATGAGAAAGACTAAGGTGAAAAATAGGGACTCCACTGGAATGGGCACCAGAACATGGAAACCAAGATGGCCCGTGTACTGCTGGTGGGAAAGCATGCGGGCACAGCCACCCCAGGGAACCCACAGTTCCTTAATACATCAAAGAACAGTTGCCACCCATTCTCCCAGAAGCATTCCAGGGCCTCCTTCCTCCAAAGGATGAACGTTCACACAAAGATCTGCCCATAAACATGGGTAGCAACTTCATCGGTAGCAGCCCCTGGGCTTGCTTTTGCTGTGGAACAGGGCCTTGCAACCGGCGACAATGAACCCTCGCTGCATCCACCTGGATAAGCTTCCATAGAAGTATGCTGACTGAAACGAGCCAAACTCAAGAATCTACAGGCTCTGTGGATCCACTTACAGGAGCAGTCCTAAATGACCACGGAGGAAGGAAGAAGGGCAGCTGAGAGGCTAGAGTGAGGAGCGCTGTTCCCTGCGATTCCTCCCTAGTTTAGAGGGTTACCAGAGAAGGGGGAAGAGCAAAAGGCTGCTCCTCACAACAGAAGGTGCGGCGGCACCTGTGTCAACAGCAAAGCTTCAGAAGCGACAGTAGAGGCCAGGCCTGAGGTGTATTATATAGTTTATGAGGCTGGCTCGAGGAGAGCCCCGCCTCTCCCTAGCAGCGAAAAGCCTTAATTTCACCATCCCAGATGCGCTGTGGTGTGCCCTTCTCCAGCCTGGAGCCCAATCATTCCCAGCCGCAATGACCCTCGTCTCCAGCCCCGAGCCCCCTTTCCCTGTCGTGATGATCCTCCCCATATTCAGCACAGGGATCGCCTATCCTGGCTTCGATGATCCCCGTCTCCAGCCCAGGGTCCGTAGATTCCGGTTGTGGTGACGCCCCTTTCAGCCCTGAGTCCCCTTTCCAGCCGTCTCTAGATCAGTTACTACAGATCTGGACCATGGGCCTTTTCCCTCCAGCCCTGGGACCCTGAATCCCCGCAGCAGTGATCCGCATCTACAGCCCTTTGCCCACTGATCCTGGCAGGTGGGGCCCAGGCCTCCAGCTCCCAGGACCCCCAATCGAGGCTGCAGTAACCCCCGTCTCTGTGCCCATCGATCCCGACGGTGGTGACCTTCCTCTCCAACCCTGTGCCTTGATCAGTTCCCATTCCATCCAGGATGATTCCGCTCTCCAGCCCAGGGGGTCCTGTTCCAGTCGCGATAACTCCAGCCTCCAGCCCTACGCCCCGATCCCAGCCGAGGTGACCCCTAACTCCAACACTCACAGTACTTGATAACCGCGATGTTGACCGGCGCGGTGCAGGTGACGACCAGGTCCTGAGGCTTTTCCGAGGCCATGGCCGAGAGAGTCTTGAGTCAAAGCTGCAGAGCCCAGCACCGGTCTCCGACCGGTGTCCACAGTCTCACGCGCTGCCATATGATTGGCCCACGGACCGATCTGCTCCCGTACCGTCCAATAGGCTGTGGGCCGAGCCCACGATCCACTTTTTAGCCTATGGACAGAATCGAATGATGTGCGGCCGACACTGAGCCCGCCCCCGCCGCCTCTAAGCGCGAGGCCTCCAGCGAGGGGCGGAGTCTGCTCAGGGAGTGGAACCTGCGCGTGCGCCTTGTGCATGGGTGGAATCTGCGCAGGCGCGAGAGTCGACTTTCTGGCACCCGCTCTTCAAAATAGCCGGAGTAATTGTGGAGACGGGTGGTGGGACCATCTGCTGTTCCAGAGCATCCTGCCTCTCCGCTGCACACATAACCCACTAGACCGCACATCGGGAGGAATCCCTTGATCCACAGCCCAGGATCGTGCCAGGGCCCCGCATCCTGAAGTATTCTACATCCACAATCTGGCTTCTCTTGTATGCACAGTCTTGAGTATGGGGTCTCATAGCCTGTCTGGACCATCCAGCTTACCTGAGGTCTCGGGCTGCAGGTGGATGCGCTACATCCGAATTGGGCATTTTCAAATGCTGTCCTTTTTCTCACGGTCTCCATAAGCAAGAATTTTGTCATTTTTCATAGTTGAAATGAATTAACACATTTCTATGAGTTTCTTTTTGTTTGTTGTTGTTTTGGTTTTGGTTTTTCCAAAGAGGGTTTCTCTATGTAACAGCCCTGGCTGTCCTGGAACTTACTCTGTAGCCCAGGCTGGTCCCAAACTCAAAAGATTCTCTTACTTCTTCTGCTGGGATTAAGCACGTGTGCCATCACCACCTGACTTTTACGTCATTTTTATTATGGCAAAATACGCAAAACAAAAATCTTGCCATTTGACCTTTATTTTTAAGTTACAGTTCAGTGACATTTAGTGTCCTCACTTGGTACAGCCCCTATCGCTGATTCCAACAGAAACAGATACAACTTTCCAGTTCCCCCATCTCTATTAAAATTCGTGGATTTTGAATGGATCAGACTTCAAAGAAGATGCGAGAGTACACACTATGAAATAACCAGGCCACCAGTTCGGTTCTCAGGAGAGTAGATGGTAACAATGCCTCCACAGCCTTTGGCTGACATTTTATCCACAATGGTGGGGAATTGCTCTTTCTCCAGCCTCTTTTTTTCTACATGCGTGCTTTTTGAACGTTTTTCAACTCCACACCGAAACAGCTTCCTTGTTTGTAGATCTAGACTGTCTAAACTTATTCAGACTGCCCTCCACTGAAGGCTGCGCAGCGCTGCCCTTGCGTTTTGTGTGAGTGTGTGTGCTTCTGTAGAAGGATTCCTAGAAGTGGGTGGCCCAGCCAAGCAGCTCTATGCCTGGGGCACTGGTGAGAGCTGCTGGCATGCAGCCACCTTGGAAGCGAAATCGATTGTTTGGCTCTCTCCACCGGAGTATGGGAGTGTGAACAGGCCTTCAGCAGCACAGTAGATGGCCTGTCACATCAGGCTGCCGGCTAGCCAGTCTCACTATTGTTTCCTTGTACGTCAGACAGCTCTTATTTTCAGTTTCGCTTGCAATCACTTCTCTGCTTCACAGGGGGAACAAAAGGACTTCTCCAAAGATGCTGCTGTCTGGTTGCTCCAGAAGGACAACAGTCTCAGTGCTTCACTGAGCTCCCTGGCAACAGGGATGGAGAGGGCGCCCATGTACCTTAATAATCTGCACTTGACCTTCTTGTGATGAAGAAGGGAAGGTTTCTACAGAGACTCTGTGTGAGGCACTGAGCTGGGCGAGAACCTGCGTTCCTGGGTACCTCACCTGTTCTACTGTTTAGAATCGTAGTATTACATGATGTGAAGCCAGCGAACACAGCCAGGCCAAATGGTAGAAAGAACTGGACGGGTGGCGGCAGCACATGCCTTTAATCCCAGCACAAGGGATGCAGACACATGTAGGTTTCTGAGTTCAAGGCCAGCCTGGTCTACAGAGTGAGTTCCAGGGAAGCCAAGCTTGTTATACAGAGAAACCTGTCTCAAATAAACAAGAGAGAGAGAGAGAGAGAGAGAGAGAGAGAGAGAGAGAGAGAGGTGTGACTCCTGTAAGTTGTCCTCTGACCTCCACATGTATGCCACAAAAAAAAAAAAAACAAATACAGAAATCTAAGAAGGGGGAAGAAAGAGAGAGAGAAATGGAGCTAAAAGGATGGATTTCCTGGAACTGGAATTACAGACAGATGTGAGCCACCCTATAGGTACTGGGACTCAAATCCTGGTCCTCTGCAAGAGTACTAAGCATTCAACTGCTGAGCTATCTCTCTAGTCCATGGTGCAAGTCTTTAATCCCAGCATATGAGCGACAGAAGCAGGTGGATTTCTGTGAGTTCAAGGCCAGCCTGGTCTACACAGCAAATTCAGGGCCTGCCAGGGCTACACAGTGAGACCCTGTTTCTACAAAATAAAAGCATTCAGTTAAAGAAGAGAAGCCAGGCAGTGGTGGCGCATGCCTTTAATCCCAGCACTTGGGAGGCAGAGGCAGGAGCATCTCAGTGAGTTCAAGGCCAGACAGGTCTACAAAGTGAGTTCCAGGATAGCCAGGACAGTTACACAGAGAAATCCTGTCGTGAAAAACCAAAAAATCAAAAAGAAAGGAAGGAAGGAA